GGCTACAGAGGCTGTACTAGTGACTGAAAATCTCTGTCCTCTTTTTCGAAAGCCTGGATTGACATTGATGCCCTATCCACCCATACAATTATTCAGACACACTGATAAAAGGCCCTTCTGAGTCTATTTCCAGATTATTTGCAGTCTTACATCTCTAAGAAAGTTTGGTGGAATTTATGATCTTAAAAAAAGTTTTCTTTTATCTGCCCATAAGGTTAAAACGAAGTTCTATCCCTGCTCTGCTCGTGTTTCTAACTACAAAATGATTTAAAACTGAAAGCGCTGACCTCTTTGTGGGTTCAAACTGATAATGACAGACTCTGTAGCAGATCCAACGAGGAGGAGGATTAACTTTTCTATTGTTTATTGCTCATTGTGCACATACTATATTGTACAGTATACTGCACAATTATTGTTTCTTTTTAGATCCATTTTACAATCTGAGTCAATGTGCCTTCTGTAAGAGTTTGGCCATCACTGAGCACATTTCTGGCATGAATCAGAAGTAAAAACAACCCCTGCAGCAAATTCTCAATATATTTGATTACATACTGACTTCTATAATGATTTAGGACTATTCACTCACTCTTGCAGATAGCTTCATCTGGAATCTGCTGAAATTCTATGGAAACCTTTCTTTGCTCTATCTGTGAAACTCTTCCTGTGGCAATGGCTGCCAAACAACCCCACAGCAGAATATTTCCACCCGCATGCTTAGCAGTTGTCTAGGTGTTCTTTTCCTCAAATGCAGCTCCATGTTCCTCCAACACACTTTTGATGATTGCAGCCAAAGTACTCAAGTTTAACTTCATCTGTCTGGCTTTTGTGGTGGTTTCACAGGTAAGGTTTCTTCTGATGTTTTTTTCATTAAGATGTTGCACAGTGAAACAGTGCACCACCACTCCTGTGTCAGCTAAACCTTCCTGCAGGTGCTTTGTAGTCATATGGGGGTTGTGCTTTGCCTTTCTGCCCACTAGGTTCATCAGAAAGTTTTCTTCTTCTTTCACATTTTATCATGAATGCCACAGTCCACCTCAACATAGGGTTTTGAATGCCATTTTAGATTGAAGCACTCTATATTCTTTTTATAGCTGCCACTTTACAGGCATCAATTAGCTTCATTTTTGTCCCCTCAGGCAGTTGCTTGGAGAAGCCTGTGGTTGTTGAGTGTTACCAGAAGAAATGTTCCACTCTACATTGTCATCAGCTGACAATTTTTAACGGTGACTGATTCTCGATCTGGCTTATGCTGCGTTCATGTCATGTTGGCAGAACAGGGAGGATGGAAATTGTTTTATGTGCAGGTTCCACCGCACTCAGGAAGAACTGGTACATTATCGTGATAATATTATCCAATAAATATGAAAATAGGATCACACTCTACAGCAAGAATTTACTTTGTTCAGCGAGAAGGCACTCACAGAATAAAAACAAAACACTGTCACAATCTTACAGTATAGCTGCTTCTTTAAACATTACTTGCAGGCAAAACCTCTTGAAATAATTAAACTGCACCAGATTAAGTAATTATGACAAAAACAAGCTGGGTCCTTGGACTTAGGCAAAAGTGACAATATTTTAAATACCAAGTGAAGCCCAGCGATAGACTTTACAACTAAACTACATCAAAAGGCACTATTGTCATACATACATGAGATACAATCAACTCTACCACAGGTATCAAAAACAATACGGAATGAAAAAAAAAAGATTATATATATCGGTTCAGCCATGCACTGTAAACATCTGGAGTGCAACTGAACAAACAAAATACATAATTTACCAAGGGATGGCCAATTTTTTTTGCATAAAACTACAGAAAACAATATAGCCTATTTGTACTTGCTAAGTGGGAACCCTACACTAAAATATATGAAAAGAATAGGAAGCAAACGTGATCTTCCACACTGGCTTGAACTTATGCTGTGAAAAAAAAATCCCGCCTGGCTTGTAAAACAGATGACCTTGCCTGCCATGGGCATACATAATAAGCCCAGAGGGAGGACTCCCTTAAATTAAGCATGACTTTCTTTTTTTTTTTTTTATAGACCACCTAATACAAACCTTTTACTCAATGAGAAACTCATGCAGTGTGTGGGTGAAAGTGTATCTAGGATCATGATACTGGTCCTGGTCTACACCTCCCACTCTGCTGTTTATGCCAAGTATAAGTGTTGGTGTTGTTTGCTTTCATTTATTTTTCCAGCACCACAAGAGAAAGCTATGACTTTGGTTTTTTTTTAACATTACAAATAATCAAGTTTGCCTTCAGTGGTGAGTTGTTAAATGATATAGTGAAGAAATATGTTTGAAGGCTTAAGAAAAGGATGCACTGAGAGCAATACCAGTATTGGTCCATTATCACCCTTGCAGTAGTGATGAAACTTGTTCCATACTATGGGCCGATAACAATTAATTGTAACATTACATTAACCTAATTATGTTATGTCAGTTGTGCTGAGGAGAAATTTCAGCAGTTCAGGGATTAGTTAAGTGACAACAACAAAAGTAAAGCTGACTGTAAGCTCTGCCTCTCACTCTGAATGAGAGGCAGAGAGCTTGGTGCTCACAGATAGCAAAGTAGAGAGGAAGCCGAATTTTACTGAGATGGGGTTTGATATGTCTAAGTAACGGAGAAAGAACAAGCCCTTAATCAAACACATTTTGAACAAGCAGAACACAAAGTCTTCACTCTCCATGTGGACAAAACGCCTGGTCACTCACTAATCCCATATCAGATGGTCACTCTCCTAAAAAGGTAAACAATAAAAAAAAACCCAATGAATTACAGTATGTTGTGTAGCAGGCTACAGACATCATCAAACATCACAGACATTCACCCAGTCACTAATGTCACTGCACTATTAAGGTGATTGTCCATTTTGTAGTAGAATCACTGCATTACAGTACATTTATTGGTAATGAGCCTGAAAAGTAGTATCGGTGCACCCCTCGTTTAAGGAGTGAATCATCTTGATTCCGATAATCAACCAGACCCTGGTTGCTTCCCATGGTAATTAGTTTAACACGCACGGTTTCAGTGAAAAGGTTACGTTTAATTCGTGCACGGCATAAATACCTTGTAAGACAAAGAGCATTTCAGAGCAAGTTCCTCAATGTCAGAAGAGACCAGGTCCTCCACTGTGAATACAAGAAACTGTGGTTGTTATCGCGAATCCGTTTTAATTATGATGAAGCATCTTCATAAGGATGGATAAGGACACACAAACACATGCTCTCACACACTGACCTGTTTTAATATCAGCAGCACGCAGGTCGCGCACTACATTCTCATCCAGTCCAGGACACATTCCTTCTCTCAAGACAACCATGGTCTTGTTAACCGCTAATTAGTTTACATGTAACTTGACATTGGTAAATGACATGCAGATTTCATTTCGCGACGATAAAAGAGAGCTAGCTAGAGTTGTTTTTAGCTTTACGGCTAAGTTCCATAGCTAGCGTGAACTTCTCTGCCTCTTGCGGTCGTTAAAGTTAATGAATTTGTTTTATCTGATGAATAACTTTGCTAACGGTACTTCGAAAATTCTCAATGTCAAAACCCTAACCGCCTTTTAAATAAAACAAACTAGAGCATTCACAAAACTTTTTCGACTAACATAACATAACAAAATGCGAACGCTTATATTCCTCCTGCTTGCCGTACTGTTGCACTCGCGATGTTTTACGGGTAATGTGGTAGCCTTTTTTAATTTTTGTCTACTACGGTCTAGGATTGTTAACCATTTACTTTTCTTAATTTATTCGATGCATGTTTGCATTATCGTGTAAATTTTCAATTTTACCTGTGAAATGCTTAAAGTTGAAATATACACAACACCAAGATACTAAAAGAAAAAAAATGCTGATTAAGGCCAGCCATTCTCAAGCTAAGTCATTTGGGTTTTATTCAAGTCAATAAAGCTTTGCAAAGGTCCTTTGGAATTTACTTGTATTTTTTTGCATCTGAAAGTCATCTATAAAAAGAGATTTTAGGATTTACCTTGTCCTTTCTGCAAAAACCATTGCTGTCTAAGTGTGGAAGTAGTCATGGCACTTTACATGCAGAAGACACTTATTGAGACTACAGCTCAATCATAAAACAAAAAGTCATTGACCTTAGCTCAGATTGTCAGTCTTTCAGTTTCCCAATTTTTGTAAATTTGGGCTCTATTCTGCACCTGTGTTTCTTGGATTAGCAGAGCTGCTATTATGGAAGCTTTTCTTTTAACCCAGGTATAAGTTCACCTGTCAGCAGCTCCAGTGCCCTAGAGGAAGAAACAGAACAATGCCATCCAAACCTTTGTTTAACTTATAATCTCACTTAATTGTAACTAATGCTTTTCCTTATCTCTGTTTCACAGATGGCTGTATTGCTTTTTTTGTTAAAGCAAATTAAAATTCTATACAGTAACTGCTTTATAAATAAAGTTGGATTTATTTGATCTGATAGCTTGCAAGAAAAAGATACTGTACAAAATAAAATATGATTCTTTCAGGGATCAATAAAAAAATCCTTTAATAGCCATTAATATGCTAACATTGTTCTACCCAAATTAATCGTATTACAGTTATGGATAAAGAGATGATACTGTGTTAATCTATAGGAATATATGCCTGCATGTACTGTATGAGTAATGAAATTATACTTTGTGATGGTGAAGTTTTAAAGAAAATCTTGCAGCTCTGTACGTTTCATTATTGAAGACTTATTCTGAAAGGTTATTTTTGTTTTCAGAATAGTTCTAAGAGTACATAGGCCTACTTCAGGCTAAGTGAAGCCGTTCTGTCACACAATATGATGTAAAAACACTAGATGCCATGCATGCAATAAAAAAAATAATAAAACACTTTAAGTCTTTAAGCCTGAAAAAGTATAATGTTAGAAAAAATAATTAAGTGCCTGATATTATTTGTCATCCATCCATCATCTATACAGCTTTATCCTGTAGAGGTCTGGGTGGTGATGCTGGGGAAACTTTCTGAGCTGACACTAGATAGGCTGTTATGTCATGTTTGTGTTGACCACGATAGTGATCTTGATTCTCTGTTGCCATTTAAACTTGTATCTTATATTCAAATTTACATGAAAGAAAAGAATAACATCAGCTTCAGTTCTTAAAATACTGTCAGTTTCCCTGCTGCTTATTTCACTTTCCAACAAAACAAAACATAAAATGACATAGTTGTAGAGATATAATTAGCAGAGTTTGTCCAGCTACATTTTGTTATATTGACATATATCTGAAATGAGCTGTTTTGTAAAATACAGTTGAAAAGCATGGAACAATCCAATACAAAAGCAGCAGTTCTACTCTGAGATCCCCCCTGATCTCTGAACTCTGTACCTTATCTTCAAGGATAACTCCAGCCACCCTAGGAAGGAAACTCACTTCACCCGCTTGTGCCGTCATTCTTTTGTTCACTTCCCAAAGCTTGTGACCATAGGTGAGGGCTGGAACATAGATTGACTGGTAAAATGAAAGATTTACCTTCAGGGCTCATCTCTTTCTTCACCATGACACTCTGGTATAATGCCCACATTACTGCTGTCTCTGCACCAATCTGCCTGTCAATCTCACACTTCGTGTGACCCTCACTCATGAACAAGACTTTATTGTATTTTAAACTCCTTCACTTGGGGCAGTACCTCATTCCCAACTCAAAGGAAGCAATCCACCTCTTCCCACAGAGAACCATGGGCTCAGACATAGAGATGCTGATTCTCATCCTAAATGTTTTGTGTTTTTTTTTACTTGTCTTTATTAAAAGAAAAAAAGCAATTTGGTCCAGATAGACTGACCTATAGTTAGAACTCTCTCTAGGAGATTCCTATAGAAACTCTAATAACCCAAAACTGTAGGTGCAAAGGTTTTAACATGACCTCTAGTAAGTGCTCAGGAATAACCCCTTATACAATTCTAAAGGCTCAAATGAGTACCACCTCTCTCACACAGCCATGTTTGTGTTACTTTGAGCTTTTAATGCTCATTGTAAAGAAAAACAGACTGTCAGAAAGAAAAAAGTTAATATTCATACACAAACTAAAAATTTGACCTAATTATGCTGTTGGATGACAAATCTGGATCACCAGAATTTGCAAAGACTATGAATGCACCAAACTGCATGGCAATCCATTGTCAAGACATTTCACACTAAATCACAAATGTCAGCTTGCTTGTGGTGCTGGAGAAAAATTCAGGGGATCACTAAAGTCAATAGGTTTCATACTCCTGGCGATATTAATGTCTGTATCAATATTTGTGCCAGTCAATCATATAAATGTATTTAATTGGATAAACAGAAATTCTGACCTAAATGTAAATGTCCGCTTTGATCACTGTACAACTATCCACTGACTCCTGGTCAATGACTCCATTTTGATTGAGTGCTGAGTTTGTCAAAAAGGTTTGACAAAACCTTAAAATGTCAGTCAAACAGCAAGGTGCATCAGATTCTCATCACTTGGAGACTTCACACAGGCTCCAGATAAAATTAAGATGATGATAATTTTGTGTTGAAGTCAGTAATTTCTGCACTTGTTGAAGTGATTCAGAACTTCTTACTGTAAGAAAAAACCCCAGAAAAGCTACATAATTAAAAAACACATTGTAATTTAAAGGGATAAACAGATCTCCATTTATCACACATCTCTTCTGAGGATCCCATCTCATGAATTAAGTTTGGTGGGTTTTGTGCTACCTTGTGTTTTGCTGGCAAGATACAGGCAATATTCAGGCTATAAAGCCTTTCACTGGACCCTGTGGGCATTTTAAAATAACCACCTTTATTACAACAATTTAATTTCTAAACCTGATTACCTGTCACATTAATAACAAATGAGACAAGTAATATAGGGAATGGTACAGTGGGACTGTATTGAATTAACAGAAGTTGGAGGAACTGGTCTCAAGGCGCTGTTGCTCAGAGAGCACTACAGCTGCTTTGCCTTCTGTGATGATGCATGGAATCGAACACATAATGAATGTTTGTAGCATTTCCAGGCCATTTGCCCACTAAAGATAGCCTCTTTAAGTAGCAGGTAGCTTGCATTGCTTGATGATAGTGATCAATAATGAATTAAATTTACTACTGCTTGTTAAGAATGTCTTAATTCTCCATTTGATTCCCAAGAGTGATTTATGTAGTAGAATGCACCCATAGTCCATCACCACAGCATGAGGCTGACTCATTTACAACTTTAGTGTGTGGACTGTGTTATCTCAATAAAATAAAGTCTATTGGATG